TGAGATGTGACATTTGTAAGAAAATTTAGTTCCTGACTGTGCAAGCTGATGCTTTTTGTTGTTTTGAACTCTATTCTTTATTAGTAGTCTCTATTTGTATCTTTATTCCTCATCTGCTTCACTGTTCTTGAAACCAAGTGACCAGAAGAATTAGCACACTCAGATCTCATGAAAGGTTTCGAAACTGATGACAATTTCAGTTTCTGTGGGGAATAGGGAACTCCCTACTGGCAACCTTTCCTTCCTGACTGTATCACACTGGTGGCTCACACTTCAGTAACATGTTCCCCTGGCAGAACTTTATGTCCAGTTCTTTCAGAATCCTGGAATGTCCAAAGGATCTTTCACTATTAGAAGAAAAATCTTGCCCTACAAAAAACACAACCCCAAACCCCTGAAGTCTAACTGCTCCATTTTCTGGTACTCTCAACTTTTCTCTGACTTCCTGAGCTCTAGCACAGAGGTTTTCCCTGGTCAGTCCTGTTGCCCTTTGCCCCTGTGCTCTCTGGCTCAGCTCCGTGGTGCTCTCAGGCACCACTGGTCCCTCCACTGCTCACTCCTGTGAGCACATCAGCCCTCCCAGACTGCTCACCCTTGTAACAACTCCTTGTCCCACTCATCTTCATTCTCTAGTGCAACAAGCTTCTTACACATTGTTTATCCATTTGAGTCAGTCTCGTCTTCTGCCCTGCTCTACAAACACACATCCTCAGCAAGTTCTCTTTGGCTTCTTGTGCCACAAAGCACTGTTAATTTTCTTTTCCCTGCTACTGCTGCAAATTTCCCTCTAAAATTGTTACACCATCTGCAGCTCTCTCCAGTCCTTGGGTGTTTTATTTAGCAACATCTGAGGCAGAAGTAGGGGTTTTCTGAGGTCCATATGCAGGTCTTGTCTACACTGTCTACACTCATTCCTTTGCACTGTCTCTGCAATTCTCCTCCAGTGTTGCCTTTGCCACAGTAATTACAACCTTCTTTAGAGAACTCAGCCTCCTCCCCCAGCATCACCCTGTGGCTCTTGTTCTGCTCCTCTCAGTTTGGTGGCTCCACTAATTAATTGTTCTGTCTCTTGTTCCAGTGCAATTCCCTTCAAGGGAACACAGTGCCAAATAGCTGCACACCTAGAGAGCTGCATCTCTTTAAGGTTGTGTGTTGTGCAAAAAATTGGAGCTCCAATATTGCACAGAGAGCATTGCTAATGTCAGACTCTGTAAGACTGGGAAGAGAAACAGATGTTTGTCCATTTTTATCCTAGTCTTGTCACAAAATAACTTCTTCCTTTTTTTTTTCCAGGAGAGAAGCTGTGAAGAGTAAAGATTTCATACACTAATGGAAGTGACTAAAAAAGTAATGGAGCCCATAAAGAAAACACTGAACTTCTGAACTAGATAGATGTTGCCATATTGAGACCTTAAATAAGTAATTTTGAAATCAAATTTTCATGGATCATGGGTAAGTTTTAGAGGAAAGATATGTCCTTAGTGCCTTGGCATGGAGTAAATGCTGGAAAACACTGCAAGACAAAGGAGTAGCCACACTGAAGGATCTCTCTGCTCTTTCATTCCTGAGTTCCTTTAGGCTGTTTAAAGGAAGCAGCCAAAGGGAAATAACTAAAACAAACCTGCATAGGAATTAGTGTCAAAATGTCATTATTCAGATCAGATAGAAGTCAGGGATGAAGACAGAGAACCACAACAACATATTCTGAGACAACCAGAAACTCTGCAGAGGATGCTGCTATAGGTACAACCTCTGAATATGCTTTGAGAGTAATTTCCTTTGCATATCAGGATGTTTTATATCAACAGAAAGAAATAATATGAGTAATATTTACTTATGAAGGGATCTAGTACCAGGGCCTTAAATCCTTTCCACAGACTAGTGCCATGTCTCAGAGAAACATATTTTACATCTCTGCTAACTTCTGAACAACATTTGATGCCACAACTATTTAAAAGTTGCCTCTTTGCTGTCCTGGTGCCTGAATACCTCATGATTCCACAGCTATTGTCATTCCTCTTCTCCCTTCCTACCAATCTCTGCACAGGAGCCTAGGAAATCATCCCTAAGCCCCACCAGCTGTTACCTGCAGCTGAAGGCAATGAGCGAGTTTTCCATGTTTCTGTCTCACTTGTACTTATTGATCCAGAAAGGAAGTCAGTGGGATTGCTAGGTGTGAATCTGAGCCACACAGCTGAATGCCTGTCTGGGGAGAGCCAGGCCAGGCCTTAGATCACTACATCTTCAGGCTTTTATTTCAGAGAAGTAAAGTGCTTTGCTTGGTCGTTCCATAAATGTTTGTCTCCAGTTAACAACTCTGGCAATCAAAATAGCTCCATTGGCTTCAGTAAAGGTTTTGCTTTGGACAGAGTTAGGCTAGGGAAAGTTTTCCTGCATCATTAAAACTGGGCATTCTTTGAACGCGATTTCTCTTTGGCTACTTCCCTTTCCCCTCCCTCCCCCCAAGAACTACAGCTTTCCTTGGGTTTATTGTACAGTGGCAACTCCCTTGTGGAGCATTATCCTACCTAGCTTATTCCACTAGTGTTGACCTTCAAAAGAGTCTCCTCAGTAATCAGCCTGGCAGGGAACTCAGTTTAATCACGTTTTGCATCTATATGTGCTTGGTTTGCTTAAGGACTTGTTGATTTGCTTTGACAGTGCTCCAGTCTTCCTTCCTTCTCCTGTAAGGTCTTGCTAATTGGCCTTTATGCCAGAGAGTAAAGTTTGCAATGCCTATTGGAAAATTTTTCCAAAAGGTCATCGAGTCATTGTGATTCCTCTCAATACCTTAAACATCACAATCTGAAATGCAAGAAGTTAAATCTTTCCTCTGACCTTTGCTTTTTTTGCAAAGCATCCTTGATGCCCAGGGCCCAAACCATTGCCTTGTAAGGATGTGTCCTCTGCTCATTACAGACCTGAGAGGAAGTTTATCCTTGGTGCAAAGAAAGATTTCTATACCTTTCCAAAGACACGAGCTCAGCAGCAGTGAAACCCAACAGAGGGGATAAATATTACTCATAGAATGTATGTCTGAACATCACTAATGAAGAGCCTTCCCTTTGGTCTGTGCTTTCACTACCCTGGAAGTCAGAGCTCAGAGACATAAGCAGCA